GTGAGCTTGTTGTTGTCCTGAAACTTCAGCAACTCCATCCAAGCGGTTCTTTCGAACGTTGCCGTAGGAGCTGGGTAAACACCGAATAGGTACCCAGAATATTCCAGAGACGACAGGGCCACGAATCGCTTTTCCTCCACTTTCCAGCCGTTCGAATATAATCTTTCAGCTGATCTCTAGGATACCAACCCGTATTGCCCGTAAGCTCTCCACACATGTTAACAGTACTGCACACTGCCATTGAATTTAATGTCGCTTGGGAGAGGGTGATCTCGTTGAAGTCTATTCCTTTACCACCTCATTTTAGGAACATGAGTGAGAATCGAGATTGCCTTTTCCACCAAGGCGAATTGGAAACTAGTCTAAGTATAATGAATTTACAGGATTTCTCCTTACACGCCTCAGTAAGTACTAACATGGAAAGGAAAATTGTAAAGGCTGGTAATTTAAATTTTTACAGATACTTAAGTAGAAAATTGCATGGCAATAGGTTCATCGGTCCTCTAAAATGTGGACACTTCATAGCATGTAGTTCAGATAACAAAGCTAACATGCTTGCTGATCAGTTCTCAAANTGCCGATCAGTTCTATGAACGGAATATGAGCTGGCCCGAGTCTTCTTTAGTCACTCCTGACTTCATTTCGTTGTTTTTTATCCAGAAAAGCACCGATATTGTATGCGAGCCGTTTTCGTACATGTTCAACCAATCGCTCGTGAAAAGGGAAACATTGTTCAGTCACCCTGGTTCTCAAGAAGGAAAATTCCTCTGTCCCCGCGAACTGTTAACCTGTCAGCACAATATCTTTATTTTGTAGACTTTTTGAGAAAACGGTCAAGGAACATATACTCAAGTATGCTGCAGCTAACAAATGATACCACGTGTCCAACATGGTTTTGTTCCTGGGAGGTCGGTGGTGACGAGCATGATCGCAAGCCTTGAGGACTGGACCGCAGTACTTGAGAGTAGTCGATGCCGTAACGTTACATACTTTGACTGTGTTCTCAACGTGACACAAAAGTGAAAAATGATTTACTGCACATAAGAAATATCACAGGAAGCTTATTAAGTTTGTGCTATGAAACTTTAACCAGGTGTAGACTTGGAATAGGCAAATTAGGATTGAAAATGTAAAATTTGATAAGATCTTCACCTAATTAATATACAAATGTAAATGCTCGAGGGCGACGAATCTTTCAGTGGCGTTCCACAAACTCGACCACTTCGTCCTTCGGATGATCAACGGCCCACTTCACGTGCAACTCTGCCGTTTTCCCGTTTTGCAACGCGATGGTCCAGTCAAGAATACCACTTTTGAGTCGGCATCCTTCTTTGGGCATTTCTGCCGGTGTAGTTAGATCTCCTGCATTAAAAACTGAACTTAGTTAGCTAGAGTGAACCTAGCGAACAACAAATATTTTATACCTTCTCTGATGTTACCTTCATCATCGGTCTGAGATACTACCGGGGCAACAAGCCTCATCTAAAGAATAGTGATTATGATTAAGGATATCGAATGCAGTTGAGGTCACTACTTAAGCCATTATACAACAAAAACATTACTTTAATTTTGTCATCTGTGCTTCTTGGAATTTGTTCTTTTATCGTCAGCAATACAGGTTGCGCACGTGAATTCTTGACGACTATTACCTGCTCATGAACGTTAGAGGAACTCTTGCTGATGAGGCCGACCTAAATGGGCTTATTT